ATGGACTTAGTACATATTTGCAGTGTGTCCCACACAAAACCATCAGAATACACATTCTTCTCAGCTGCAAATGGGACAGTCTCTAAAATAGACTGTATTCTAGCCCATAGAACATGCTTAAATAAATGCAAAGGAACTAAAATTAATCAATATATATTATCTGGCCAGGGTGCAATAAATTTGAAAATTAAAGTAAAAAGAAACTGCAACAATTTTAAAACACATGGAAATTAATTAATATCCTGCTTAACAACAATGGATCACAGATGATATTGAAAACGAAATTAAACAATATCTACAACTAAATGAAAAAACAGATACAGCGTACTGAAACCTGTGGGACACAATGAAAGCAGTTCTCAGATGCAAAATTGTAGTGGTGAGTTCTTACGTCAGGAAAAGAGAATAACAAGTAAAAGTAAATAACACAATGTTGCATCTCAAGCTTCTAAAGAAAGGAGAGCAAGATTGGCAGAAATTCCATATCACTAAGAAAATTATAGAGAGCAAAGCCAAAATTAGTGCAATGGAGACTAAGAAAATAATTCAAATAATTAACTAGTTGAGTTTTCTTTGAAAGAATAAATAAAATTGATAAACTCTTAGCCAACCTTATAAAAAAGTAATTAAAAGACTCAAATTCATGCGATTTGGAATGAAAAGTGTAAAATCCATACAGATCCTGTGGAAATTCGGAAGATCATCAATACGTACGCTGAAAATCTTAACTCTCATAGGATGGAAAGTGCATAAGAAATGGATAGATTCCTAAATATGTACAAATTACCAAAGCTGAATCAAGAAGATAAAAATTTCTGAATAACCCAATATCAGTTAATAAAATTGAAAGTGTAATTAAAAGCATATCAACAAAGAAAAGTTCTGATAGCTTCATTGCTGAGTTCTACAAGAAATTTAAAGATTTAATAGCAATACTCCTCAAGTTAATGAAACTCCTCAGTTAATGAAACTGAAAGGGAAGCAATACTTCCTAACTCATTACTGGATTCAAGTTTTATCCTGATGCCCAAATCAGAGAAAGACCTAACCAAAAAAGAGAAGTACCAGTCAATCTCCCTAATAAAGATAGATGCAAAAATCCTCAACAAGATACTAGCAAAAAGACTGTAGCAAATTGGCAAGGAGATTATATACAGTGACCAAGCGAGATTTATTCTAGGAATTAAGGTGCAACATACACAAATCAGTAAATATAATAAACCATAACAACAAGGCAAAGACAAGAATATCATGGCCATATCAATAGATGCAGAAAAAGCTTTTGACAGAGTCCAACATTCATTCATAGTAAAATTCCTACAAAAAATTGAAATAGGTGGCTTTTATCTCAATCTGATAAAAGCCATCTATAGCAAACCAACAACCAATACCATATTAAATGGGCAAAAACTAAATGGTTTAACTATAAAATCAGAAATGAGACAAGTATGTACACTGTCACAACTCTTACCAAATTAGTTTTGGAAATGTAAGTGAGAGCAATTAGATTAGAAAGAAATAAATAGAATAAAGATAGGAAAGGAAGAAATTAAGTCATTATTACGTGGAAATGGTATGGTAACTCTACATAGAAGACCCCCAGAACTCCACTGAAAGACTTCTAGAATTAATAACCAAATCTGGATACAAATTCAACACTCAAAACTCAATACCATTCCTGTACAAAATCAACACAATCACTAACAGATATTAAGGAAACCACACCCTTCAAAATAACACCCCCTACCAAAAAAAAGGAGAAGAAAAAATACTTAGGAAACAATCTAACAAAAGAAGTAAAAGATGTATATGATGAAAATTGCAGTATTGTAAAAAAGCAAACTGAAGAAGATATCAGAAAATAGAAACATTCCCCTTGCTCATGGATAGGAAGAACCAATGGAGTGAAAATGGGCATACTCCCAAAATTTTTAGAGTTTTAATGCAATCACAACCAAAATACTATTAGCAGACCTTACAGAACTATACAAAACATTCCTAAAAGTTATTTTGAGCCAGAAACACCTAGAATACCAAAAAGAATTCTGGGCAACAAAAGTAAAACAAGAGATATCAGAATCCCTGAGTTGAAACTGTACTACAATACTACGGTGATAAAATCAGCATGATACAGGTCAAAAAAAGAAAAAAAGGACCTAAGGATCAGCGGAACAGATTAGAAGATACAGACATAACTATGAACACACTGTTATCTTGTTTTGTTTTGTTTTGTTTTTGATACCAATTATTAAACTCAGGACCTCATGCTTACCAGGCAGGGCATTATACACTGCCACCTTATCTTTGACAAAGAAGCCAAACACGTTCACTGGAAAAAAGATAGATTCTTTAATAAATAGTGCTGGAAAAAGTGGATCTACACATCCTGAAGACTAAATCTAGACCCATGTCTATCACCATGTACTAAACTAAAGTCAAAATTGATCAAAATAATATTTAAATAATAAGACAAAAATACTAAATTAATTACTGGGAGACTAGGAAGAAATCTGGAAGACATATTTGTAGGCAAAAACTTCATGAATAAAATTCAAATTACAGAGGAAATATTTCAGAGAATCAGCAACTGGCATCTCATTTTATAAAAAAAGCTTTTGCACATTGAAAGAAATCACCAACAGAGTGAAAAGAAATCTCATGGACTGGTAAAAAAAAAAAATTCAGCCAACTGTTCCTCCAAGGACTTTTATCTAGAACATGTAAAGAACTGAAAAAATATCATACCCTCCAGATTTAAAGACTCAGTCCAAAAATGATGATCTGAAATGAACATACATTTCTCAGATGAAAAATACAAATGGGAAACAAATACATGAAAAACTGTTCAGCATCACTGATCATTCAAGAAATGGAAATTAAAACAACACTGAAATTCCACCTCACCTGGAAAGAATGGCTACCATGAAGAAATCAACCAATAAATAACAAATCCTGGAGGGACTGTAGAGAAAAATGAACCCTTCTCAACTGTTGGTGGGAGTGAAGACTGTATAACCATTGTGGAAACCTATATGGAGATTCCTCAGAAAACTAGGATTAGAGGTCCCATTTGACTCAACTTTTCCCTTCTGAATATTTTTCCAGAACAATTTTAAAAAATCATACCAAAGAGATTATGTGTGCACTCATATTTATAGCAGCAAAATTTGTAATAGCTAAATCTTGGAAATAACCCAAATGTCCATCAACAAACAAACATATACAAAATATGTGGTACTTTTATACAATAGAATGCAACTTGGCTATAAAGAAGGATAACTTGTGCTCTTCATAGGTAAATGAACGTAACTTGAGACATACTCGTAAGTGGAGTAAACCAGACTCACATGTATAAATATTGCATTGTACCCTAGTTTAAGAAGTTGAAAGAGTAAATAATATCCAAAATGTACAAGAGAAATTGGGATGAGGAAAGGTAGGAAGGAAGGGAAAAGGAAAATGTGTGTGTATGTGTGTGTGTGTGTGTGTGTGTGTGTGTGTGTGTGTATGTGTGTGTGTCTGTCTGTCTGTCTCTGTCTCTCCCCTTCCCTACTCATGAGTTCACATGATAGAAAAAATATTATATTTGCCTTTCTGAAGCTAGTTTATTATACTTAACATGATTAACCTTAAAGCTGAACATAAAAAGACAAATAATTTAATAAATAAATGGGAAAATGAACCAAATGTATACTTCTCAAAAGAAAAAGTATAAATTACAAGTAATTTTAATGAAAAATAGTAAAAACCTTTTACAATTTGGGCAATATAAATCAAAACTACACTGAAGTGTACTCTTATCCAATTGGAATGGCATTTTCATAAAAAAATTAAAAATAATTGTAGAGGTTAGCACGAAGTCATCACATTGAATAACTTTGGGAACCACCTGGGGGACTGGCGAGGCCCACCTCTGATTCTGTTTGCATAGATCACAGAGGTGTGTCCTCGGGATTTATATTCGGTGCCTTACCCCTTCTCTCTAGCACTCGTGCCCTAGTATGCTTCCCAGTTCCCGTGAACTAAATATCTTTCCTCTGTTGTGCTTTTCCACCATCATGCTCCTGCCTGGAAGCCAGCCAATCACAGATTGAATACCCAAATCATGAGACAATTGCTTTTTTCTGTTTTAAATTGTGAGTGTCAGATATTATATCCAAAAACAGAAAAGCTGGCTAATAATATGGGTGAAGATGTAGGTAAATAGCTGGAAATGTAAATTAGTACAGCCACCATGGTGAATGTGGAGGTTCCTCCAAATCTAAAGTACAGCTACCACATGGTCTAGTTGGTAAATACCTGAAGAAACTGAAGTCAGCATAGGGATTTCTGTATGGCCATGTTTACTGTGGCCCTATTTATAACAGACAAGATGAATCAGCCATCAATATGAGTGAAGAAAATATGGCATATAGACAAAATGGAGTATTATTTGGCAAAGAAGAAGAGAGAAATCATGTCATTTGTGGAAAAATGAGAGCAATTTTACAAACAAACATGTCTGGTACCAAAATGATTATACAAGTAGTGGGTGGGAAATGTGTATTTTCAAAATACATTTATGGGTTTTCTTTTCTTTCCTTCTTTTATACTTATTTTCTTTTCATCTTTCATGAATTCATGTACATATGCACATGTGCATGTGTGTGTTTGCTTGTCTGCTGGTGAAAAGATGCTGTGGTAGTGTTAGGGTCAGAGGTAACAGCATGAGGTCACAGGATGACAAGAACGTAAAAGGAGAGGTTAAGGCCTTGAAGAAGGTCATAAGCAAAGGAGTTTTCTTTGCAAGACATTTTAGATTTGGACACCAGGAATGCTTCTTTAAGCTTGCTGATATATGATTAATTGACCTGAAAAATTTATCTGTCCTACTCCTATCCTAATTCATTCAAATTCAAGCCTGCATACCTCTGAACCCTTTGAGGTCCAAGATCACCTCTTGCAGATAATCACATGAGGTTAATAATGGTCATCCAAGAAAAATAAAGTCCTTCTAAAAGAAATGTTAAGCGTATTCCTTGTTTATTATTTTAATCAGTCAGGTGCAGCACAATATAAGAAGTAAAACAAGTATCAAGTTGGAATATTTGCCAAGGAAACGTGGAGGGTACATACAAGTTGGAATCCAAAGCCAGTTGAAAGGATTCAGGCAAGACCTGAGTTTTTAGACCATGGAGGGCTTAAAACATCTCAAAATGAGTCTTCTTTGGGACTTCTCAGTCTTTGAGGCAGATCTACAGGAATGATACCTTCTGTACTGCCCCTGAACATTGCTCTTCAAGATTAAGGATCCCCTTCAGCAACAGCCCCAGATTGCTGGCTACTCCCCCCTCCACAGCAGCTGGAGCCCCTCGAGGGCTGGCTGCAACAGCCAGAGCTCTGGTGTCTGTGGTGGTGGGACCTCTGGCGCCTGTGGTGGCTCAGACAGCAGCCACCACCCCCAGAGCTGCAGCAGCCCCCAGAGCTGGAGCCACAGCAGCCCCCAGAGCTGACACTGCAGCAGGAAGAGACTGGGGGGCACTTAGGCGGACACTTTGGGGGGCATTTTGGGGTGGGGCACTTGGGGGTGCATTTGGGAGGTGGTTGGCACTGCTGCTGGTTCTGCTGGCAGGACATCTCCACAGCTGGTCAGATGTTCTGGAGCTGAAGGAGAGTTAAATTCAAGTTAGATGCAGGAAACAGGCCACCCTGCCCGCTCATTCTTTCTATTGAATTTCCACTCTGTGTTTTAGTTTTAGTTTCATTCACCGAAAAAAAAAAATCCCCAGCACTATTTTCCTTACTAGAAAGAGATCATTATTTGACAAATAGAAAATACTATCAAATATCATTATAAAGTGTAAAGCACAGTTTTATGCTAAATATTGAAATTATTCTATATAGTCTAATTCAGAACTGAAATAATTCCTTAGTAGAAAAAATAATATCCTGTAAACATCTTCAATGATTCTACATCCCAGCATTTGCAATCAGAATGAAAAGGGATCGTGGCCATTTCTTGATCTGCTCACGCTATGAAGACAGAAGCTAAGAATAAATGAAGATCTGTGCAGAAGACCCTTGACTCACAGTCCAACTCTCTGATGTTCTCATAAACAGAAACTCTTCCTTGATCTAGAGATTATTTCACTTCTCGTGTTACTTGAAATATTTTCCCAGACCCTTTCTCATAGCCATGTGTGCATTAATCTCCAAAAGATCTCCCTGATCCTATCCTTGTTTGCAGATCTCTGGAATTCTTTTAGAGTATCATTCTCTCACCCTAAGCATTCTAAACAACCAAGGATCTGCCAGGTTCTCAAAGCCCTGGGAAGGAATCAAGACTCCTTCTGTTCTTGAAATAGATCCATAGGCTTTTTGCTTCCAGCCACTCTCCTTCTCTGGACTGTGAATCTCCTTAGAAAATCCCTACTCCTGTTCTCAGTGGACACTTACCGAAGTCAAGGAGCTCAGAGTTTGTGAACACCTCAAGAGGTCAATGCATGGAATGCTGTACCCCTGAATCCTTTTATCTGAGGCTCCACCTCAGCAGGTGAGACAGAAGCAAAACATGAGAGAACCCAACTCCAGTCACCCATATGGTGCTGTAACTGGTGATGACTGAGTGCTCCTCCTTCCATGTTGCTCAGGGCAATTCTACACTCCATGCCAGCTATTTCACCAAGAATTTCTTGATCATCTGATCTTGTTCTTGTAGTAGTTTGATCTCCCAGAACATCTCCTTGTATTTCCTTGGTGGTCTGCTTTGGCATAAAAGTTACAGATGTCTCTAAAGATCCCTGCTCTCTATGTTTAGAACAATCTAAAATAATCAAAGTCACATGAAAATATGCATTTTACCAGATTTTATGTTTGTTTTGATGTATAAATTGAAGAATCCTCTAAATGTCTCTGGTGTGGCCCCTTCTCTCTCTCTCTCTCTCTCTCTCTCTCTCTCTCTCTCTCTCTCTCTCTGTGTGTGTGTGTGTGTGTGTGTGTATTTGTATGCATCTATCCATTCCAGTTAGAGCTTGAATTAGGAGTCGGAAAAACCTGGCTCTGCCGTCTTTCAGCTGTGGGACCTTGCGGGAATCAACCATATTTCTCATTCTGTTTCCTGAATATTACAATAGAAATGATGAGGACTGTCCTCAAAATGTTGTGAGAAATTACTAGACTTATAGAAGATCAGTGCCCAGCCTGTAACATAGTGGCCCCTCATAAACTATCAGTCCATTTGCAATTAAAAAAGAATGAATGTATTTTCAGGTTTTAGATCACAGTAGTTTTCCAGGAAACAAGCATCTGACTTTTTAATGGATTGTTTTCAGGTAAGAGCTTTCACATATTTTCATATAGAAATAACTCTGTGGAGGTATTCAAGGGAAGCAGCATACTGTGTGGCAGAATGATAATGTGCTGTCCAGGTTTTTACACAGTAGAAAAGGGTTTCCTCCATGAATAAGTAAACAAAGAGGAGAAGAGACATAAGATGGTTCAAGCCTGAGGTACTTCATGGGGTTCAGGACTTTATGGAAAAAATCCCTGAACAGAGGAGGAAGGGAAGCTCTAATGAAAAGGAGACACTGGATCCAATAAGAACTTTTAGTATTTCTGCTTCATTTGTACATGGATAGGAGTTTGGTCAGAATTTTTTGTTTACATTTTGTTTGAGCATTTTTAGATTAAGATAAATCCTAATGACAATTTGAGATACAGCGGGTAACCCTTCTATATTATGAAAATAAAAAGGAAAAAGTCTAAGTAGATGAAAGCAAATCAAATCTAGAATTAATTTTGTGAATTAATTATGTGAAGTAAGCTCCCCTTTCAGGAAGTTTTCAAAATAATCTCCCTGAGAATGGAATGACACAGATATTTAGTTACTAAAATCTATAGCCAGGTCATAATGACAGACAGACACAAGATCTAATGAATTACATGTTTTTATGAGACTTTGGTTATTTTAGACCATAGTATTTAACTGATAGCATCTATGCTGTGTGTATACATGTATGTATAGATACATAGACATACATAGATATAGATACAGATATAATAATGTTTGTTGTGCTATTACCAAGGTATCAAATATCTCAGACTATGTGGTATTCCCTGAAGTTACATGCTCTCACATCTGTACAATTTCCCATCGATTCTAGTCTTTGCTGCAATTCTGAAATCACTATCCTCTACTCTAGAAATAATTACCCCTGACCTTCAAAGGAAGTTATATCTGGGGCTCCATACTGTACTCATAATCCAGACTTTTAACCTTTGACTGACAACAAACTTCTGTGCAATTGCATCCTGTGCAATTTCTCCAGCTTCTTTATTTTTTCCAAGTACAACTTGCTCACTAGCTGAACTCTGAACCTGTTCCTCTCTACTTTCACACTTCACTCCTCGATCTTTTACTCTGAGACACAACACCTCTCAAATCCCATTTGTTCCATTATGATGTATGTGACATATCTCAAAAATGAGATTCTCATAAATCTTTTTGACAGTAGAATTTATACCTTATATGTCAAATTTCTTACTAGTAAAGGGGTACAAAACTTTGTAGATATTGTGGATCTTAGATTTTAAATAATTTACCACTAGAATGAGCATGGATTCACAGTTTATAAATAGTTCCAAGCCACATTCTGAAACAGACACAGTGATGTGAGCTGGCCACATCACCCTGCAGGGATCTGTTTCCATCTTGCCAGGTGTGACAGTTTGCTCAGGTTTTCCAATGGGCTTACCTAGGATGTCCTTGCCTTGCCTTATGCAGAAGACAGTTCCTGGGTCTTGGGATGATGATGAGGTCATCTGGTTCATATTTTTGGATTGACACAGCATAGCAACTGAGTTACCCATCTGCTTGGATTTGGGTGGCTTCAGCATTGTGATGATAACATCTGTAAAGCTGAGCCTTTGGCCTGGACCTTAGCAATAGATGACCTCACGATGGTCTATTTACTTAGCCAAGGTTTTCTGAGGTCATTAGTCATCCAAACAGTCTGTCTCTTACATTTTTATTCTCTTATCTATTTAGGTAACAACAGATATCATTGTTGAGATCCTAAAAATATCACACTAAATTAACCTCTTTCTTTTTTTCCTTTTAAACCACTAACTAGCATGGAAATGAATTTAGATTTTTCTCTCCCAGAAAATCTTTCTTTTAAATAACATTTGGTAGATGTTGCTGTAAAAGAAATAGACAATATAGGACTTTTAAAAATTATTGTCATTATATTAGTCATTTTTGACTTTTTAAGGTATGTCATATGTTTTATTGATATATAACTAAAACCTTAGATAAATTATTTAATATCAAAATTTACATGGCAACAAATAACATACATAAGGCAAAAAGGCAGACAGTCAGGTAGAGACAAATACAAAATACCACCACATAAATGATTAATGTCACCATTATATGAATAAATCTTACACATTAAAATAAATTAAAATAAAATAAAATTAACTGGAAAAAGACACAGATAATCACTTGCCTTATACACACACACACACACACACACAGAGAGAGAGAGAGAGAGAGAGAGAGAGAGAGAGAGAGATGTTCAACTTTACAAATAGTCAAACTGCTAGGGCAAACAGAAATACAGAAACTACACTCAGAATTTTGAAGCAGATTTATTTTACATCAATAAAGCACTGATTGGGATCGTTTCCAAAATATTAGGCCCTGATCTCTGGTGGTCTAGGTTTTCATATGATGTACAAGCAGGAGTTACAAAGGCGAGACAAAACAGTTTGGTGGTTCTCCTAAGTAGCTAGCAGGGTAAAATCATCAGTTACAAGACTAGATTAATGATCCTCAGTTATAAGACTAGATTAAGGGTCATGGAGCTTATTACAGACATCCTATATATTTGGGTCTGCTTTCATGGTTACAAAAAGGTAATTACAGAGCCATGAAGCAATTACAGAGGCAAGTAAGTTCAAAAACAAAGTTGTTAAAAGAACAATTTCTCTTGCATAGTTTTTTCCTTTCATTTTCCTCTCTTGTCATTACTCAGAAAAATATTTTTCAGTGTTGGGGCTGTTCTTTTTATTTAAAGTGCATAAGAAGGGGAAACACTTAGGGTCATTTGAAAACTTACAGATCTGTTGTGAAACAAAGTGAGTAATCCGGTTAACCAGGCGGGACTTTATCGGGAGTATTAAAATTAAGGCTGTCAGGAGTCCCAAAAGGGATCACAGGCATGATCTCAAGGCAGGTAGATCTTGCAGCCATCCCTGTTTCTAGTTTCATTCTTGAGCTCTGTTATTTAAACTCTCTTGTAACTGTTGCAGACCTTCCCAAACTATTCCAGACCTATTAACATAGAAACAGCGGGTTTCTTCTGGGGCATTACAAACTCCTCTTTGCTGTTCTTGTTCAGCTAATTGAGGGGTGACCTTATGGTGGTCTGTTTCTGCTATTATTGGGCATCCCTTGATAGGAGGCTGTGGACAAACATTCCCAGGATAAGTGGTTATATTCCATTCTGGATCTGCAAACTGTGTGTTCATATTTTTCTCCAAGACACAGATAGAAATCAAAGGCCCCAGAGTGGGTTCCCAGGGGGTCTTCTAGTCTCTTTTTGACAAGAGAACACTCATGTGTCTGGAATGATAATACACGGTCAAAGATCAAATCTGAGAATTACTGGGCCTTGTCCATTCCGGATTTTGGATTAAATTATCTTTCAGGTGTCAGTTTTTACCAGGTGAACTCAATAGAAGCTTGAGTTGCACAGTTTAATTTCCCATGATTAATTAAATGGAACCAGAATTCAGACCTCAACAATAAATTTTAGCACATTAGTAACAACACACATTTTCTAAATATTACTGATAACCCTAAGCCTTTAGGTGAGAAAGACAGTTTAAAATAACAAGTCCAACTAACAAAACCATACAAAGAGTAAGGAAAAGCGCCTTAGTGGTTACCTTTCATCCTAGTGGGACAGCTGTCCATAGGCCAAGGCAAAGGTTACAGCCAATAAGAGGATAATGAGCAAAAACCAAGCTGGTAAACACATGGGAAAGAACAGGAGTAAGCAATTACATGTGGAATCAAGCATCCACCATGCATTGACCTATCAGCATCTGCAATGACAGGAGCAGGGATTTGAGCACGTTGCCTCTTGAGTGAGCCCCAGAGGAGCAGTCCAGGTTAAATTTTCAGTGGATGTAAGGCTGTATTTCTGAAACTGGTAGGTGCAGTTAATATGCCTCTGGGTTATATGTGTGTGCATGAGATTAGGGCCAGTAACATAGATATTGAAGCCTGAGTTGGCTATAGGGTAATGGGTGCCAGCTCTGTGGCCTCAGATTATATAACAAATAGTGAGGACAGATCTGGCTCTATGTCGTCAGTGGTAGATTTCCAAACAGAAGCAGGAGAGCTTTGGCCAAGATAACTTTGTCCAAAGTGACGATGGCACATTTAGCCTGTCCTCACAGAGCTACTTTCATCTGTAAGTAGCACGTAAGCAGCATCTGTCAGGGAGTCCGCTTTCAGGTGTAGTACAAGAAAGTTATATCCTGGCCCAAGGTGAGCTTTTCAGTTTTCTTGGTCAGAAGG